TAAAAGTTATACTCAGAGGGAAAAAAACACATTAAGAAAAAAAAGGAAGAAACAAATGACTTGAGCAAAGGGGATTGGTCAGCGGTCCAGTGCGTGCTTAGTAGATTCAAAGCCACAGATCTGACCCACAAAGCACGAACACTGAGGAGGGGAGAGGGAGGAAGAGGAGGACGGGAGGAAGGGGGGAGGAGGGGGGGAAAAAGAACGCCGTCTCTATTAACAGCAACCTGACCAGACTAAGGCACAGAGAAACAGGCGCACTTAGTAGAGTTCCTGAAATAGAACATCCACTCGGTTACTAACAGATGGATAAACGTGTACTCACCTTGAGAATAATTATAAGCCAACAACTGTGCACTATCGCAAGGTACATTTATTCAGAACTTTATGTATGTCATGCATTCTGCTGTAACATAATACGGGTATGTACTGATTCTACATGGTTTTTTCTTGTTTTATCTTTTGGCTCTTTTTACACGTCAACTCCATCTCCTGTAGCCCAGGCTGGGCTTGAACTAGCTATGTAGCTAAGGATGGCTTCGAATTCCTTCCTGATCCTCCTGGTTCTGGAATCACAAGAGTGCTGCATAAGTCATATATTCCAGAGTCAGGGTGTCATGCCATTACTCAGACTGGCTACCAACTCACGGCCTTCCTGTGTAGGGGTGAGCCCATGCCCCTTTGGGCTCACCCCTGCATTTCTGCTTCTGCCTACCGGGATTATAGGTGGTTGTTTTTGCCATCACCATATGTTACAACTTCATGGAAGGAAATTCCTAACAAATTTTGAAAAAAGACTAACTTAGTGAATAGGATTTTGTTCTTTGTTTGTTTGTTGTTTTTCGAGACAAGGTTTCTCTGTGTAGCTTTGGAGGCTGTCCTGGAACTCGAGCTGTAGACCAGGATGGCCTCGAACTCACAACGATCACCTGCCTCTGCCTCCCAAGTGCTGGGATTAAAGGTGTACGCCACCACTGCCCGGCATGAATAGGATTTTTTTTACCAATGCTGTTTTCTTGCTGTATTTTGTTTAGCTTGGTTTGGCTTTGAGAAGCCTTGCAACTTTCTACGGAGCAGAGGTATGCACCGCTGCTCCAAGCTCATGCAGCACTGGGGATTAGACAGGACTTAGGACAGGGTGGGCAGGACCTAGTCTACCAGCTGAGGTACATCCTCAGCTCTTACTTCTGAAGTCGGAGTAATGCACCATGGTAATATAGAATACTGACATTAGGGGAAGTTTCATGGGGAGTATGAGTGCTCTCTCTCTCTCTCTCTCTCTCTCTCTCTCTCTCTCTCTCTCTCTCTCTCTCTCTCTCTGGTTTTTGGAAACAGGGCTCACGTAGCCCAGGAAAGCCTCAAACTCACTGTGTTGCCACTGTATAGCCAAGAATGACTTTCAACTCCTAATTCTCCTGCCTCTACCTCCCAAGTGCTAAGATAACAGGATTGCATTACCACACCGTTTGTGAGGGAGTTTTCTATGTTGCCTATCTTCATAACGGTTCATTTATTTATTTATTTATTTGTTTGTTTGTTTATATGTGGTGTGTGTAGTATGTGCTTATGTATACGTCACTGCACATACAAGAGTGTGGGGATGTCTGTGGAGGCCAGAGGCTGACACAGGGTATCTTCCTCAATTGCTTCCCGTCTTATTATTTTGTTTGTTTGGTTGGTTGGTTTGTTGAGGCAGGGTCTCACTCCGGAGCCCTGGCTGACCTGGAACTTGATGTGTAAACCAGGCTGACCTCGAACTCACAGAGATCTGCCTGCTTCGACAGTGTGGGGATTAAAGGTGCCCACCACCGCACCCTGCCTTCCATCTTTGAGACATTTCTTGAGACAGAGTATCTCACTGATCCTAGGACACAGCAACTCAGCCACACCGGCTGGCCAGTGAGCCCTAGGGATCTTCCTGTCCCTACCTGCCCGGCCCTGGGAGTTTAGGCGTGTGTCATGTACCTTTTTACACGGGTTCTGGGGGTCAGATTTCCACTCCCCTGCTTCTGCAGCAAGCACTTTACGGAATGAGCTGTCTATCTGTCGCCTCAGCACTGAGAGATGGAGACAGTAGGATCGGAAATCCAAACTAAGCTGCGTGGTGGGTTTAAGGCCAACCTGCCCTATAAGAGACGTTTTCTCAAACAAAATTAACCAAACCGAACCAGTAGCTTCCTCCCGGGAAAGGCTCTATCAAAGCCGGTGAAGTCTGGAGGTGTAGCTCAGCGGTAGGATGTAGGAGGCCCAGGGTTCATCCCTAACACACAAACACAAGCCCTAGTCTGATCTTAGCAGGAACAGGCGGCAATCATGTCCTTGGGCTACAGTGACTGGGTACAGAACCCAAGCTGGACCAGTCAGTTTTTTCCCCTGGGAAATTTCTGTCCAAAAAAGAGGTAGGAGAGGGAACTTAGCCATAAATGAAGAGAGGTCTTCTTGTCTGTGTGAGTTGCTTGGGCTAGGAACACAGGGTAGCAAAGGTCACCTCATGCCAAGGCACAGGGGCCACACATGTTGGCTTGAGGAGAGAAATACCAAGGGAAAGGAAGGTGTCAGGAGTTGCTGGACCTGTGATCCCAGGAACTAAACTCTCAGGGTTCTCGTCTCCTCAGATTCACCTTTGACTCTGGGGGCCGCCCTTGGCCCCACAGTTGAATATCCCCCCTTTTGCCTTCGAACTGGTTTAGGTCGTGTTTCTGTCGCCTCCTGTTCAAAGGAACGCATGCTCCATTTGTCAGGCTCCCTTTGTGGAATTCACCGGCTGTGAAGGTTGATCTGACCACTCGCTTCGTGAGCGACGGAGGTAAGCTCTCTCTACGATGCAATACTGCGTCGGGCTACAGATGGTTTCACTCCTGGCCTCAGCATCAACCAACTGAGGCTCTTGGGGGAAGATTTACAGTGCTTGTGCCTTTGCGTCTCATCCAAACCCTTTGTGAAATATGAAGAGTTCCCAGCGAATTGGGTGGGGCTGTATATGTGTTTCACGGATGTGTGCGTGCCTGTGCATGCGTGTTTCTGCATGTGTGCGGATGTGTAGGTGTGCGTGCTTGCATGTGGAGACCGGGGCTGATGGAGAACATCTTGGGTTGGATCTTCTACCTTACCCATGGAGGAGGGGTTTCTCAGTCATGCCAAGAGCTAGTCTCGCTGGCCTGCTGGCTCTAGAGGTCTTCCGTCCTTACTTCCTGTGGCTGGAATTATGGGTGGACCTTTGTACTGGCCGGTTTTGTGCCCACTTGACACAAGCTAGAGTCACCGGAGAGGAAGGAGCCTCAGCTGAGGAAATGCCTATATGAGATCTAGCTGTAGGGCATCTTCTCAATTAGTGATCAATGGGGGAAGGGCCCAACCCATTGTGGGTGGTGCCATCCCTAGGCTGCTGACTGGGTTCTATAAGAAAACAGGCTGAAGCCGGGCGTTGGTGGCGCACGCCTTTAATCCCAGCACTCTGGAGGCAGAGGCAGGTGGATCTCTGTGAGTTCGAGGCCAGCCTGGTCTACAGAGCGAGTTCCAGGACAGCCTCCAAAGCCACAGAGAAACCTTGTCTTGAAAAACCAAAAAAAAAAAAAAAAAAGAAAAAAAGAAAAAAAGAAAGAAAACAGGCTGAGCAAGCCGTGGGGAGCAGGCCAGTCAGCAGCACCCCTCCATGGCCTCTGCATCAGCTCCTGCCTCCAGGATCCTGCCCGGTTTGAGTCCCTGTCCTGATTTCCCTCAATATTTAATAGCAATATGGAAGTGTAACCCAAATAAAGCCCTTTTCCCCAACTTGCTTTTTGGTCATGGTATTCTAGCACAGCAATAGAAACCCTAACCAAGACAGCTCTCTTGCATTTATGTGGGGCTCTGGGGGCCACGCTCGGGCCTTCATGTCTGCCGAGCTGTCTCCCCAGGCAGATGAGACACTATGTGTAGGGTCACAGGACAGCACCCGGCACGCGGCTCCCACTAAGTAAACAGTTCTCTGTGATCTCTTTCTGCTCCTGTCATGGTTCCCCAAGGCATCCTCACCTGCGGGATTCAACACTGACATTTGATCCAAGCCTTCAGATTGCTTTACTTCTTGCTTTGTTAGATTGCTCAATCAACGTTTATTTTTGACATTTCACCTCCTTTCTCTCGGGCTGCCTGTACTTTTTCTTATTGTCCATCCTGATTATTGTTCTTCGTGGATGTCTTTTTCACAATGCTTTCTGTTTCTATCCCCGAGTGCCTGCCTGCCTTATAAAACGCTCTTTATTCTGCCCCCACGCCGGAACTTTCCTACTACAAGGAGTGATTTTGCTGTGTGTTTATTTTCTTTGGAATCCTCTCTCTTTTATAGACGCAGGTCATTTATCAGCTGAGGCTAGAACGCTTCCTGGTTGGGTCAGGGCATGCTGCAAACTGCCCCGTAATTGCAAGTCCCTGTAATAATGCTGTTTTTGGCCAGGACACAAACCACACTCAGGAAGGTCTTCCTGAGTGCTGAAGGTCAATCAACTAGAACTTTCTCAAGCTTTTAGAGGAGTGGAATTCTGGAAACAAAACCGCTTCCCCAGAAGCAGCTATCAGCAATAGGTGCGTATTGGCTGTAGCTGGATACCAGTCTTGACTCTAGTACCTGGGAGTCACCGCATCTCCCTCTGCCTCACTTTCTCCATCTACAGCATAGGAGAGTTGCCTTTATTTCATGGGAAAGTTTTTATTTTAACGTGTATTTGCCTTACCATGTATGTTCATGTTTGTGTGCATGTATACTCACGATTGCGTGTGTGCACATGTGAGTGTATGTATGTAGGTCACAGGGCTACGTTAAGGAGTCAGTTCTCTCCGTCTATCCAGGAACAGACCTCAGGCTGTTAGGTTTGGAAACAGAGCACCTTCCCTCGCCCTCCGGGGAGCCGACTCATCATGCTCCATTGTGTGAAAGTTAAAAATGGAACAATTTGCAAACTGGGCATGGCTGTGCATGCCTCGGATTCCAGCGATGGGGAGATAGGGATGGAATGATAAGGAGTTAGAGTCAACCTTGGCTGCATATGGAGCTTGAGGTCATCCCATGGACCCCTTGTCCTCACCCAAGCAGGGTTAGGAGAGCCACAGGGCCTGTCGGCCCTGCTCCCTTTCCTACGGCACCCTTACTTTCCAAGCTCACACTTTCCTTGTCTGCAAAATGGGGCTAGTTAAGTCTACAGCTCGTGTCTCAACAGAACCCCGGGGAGGAATACGGAGAGGTGAGTAACACTCCGGGGAGGGGAGGTGTCACAAGGAAGCTAATTTTAAAGCTGAGCACTGAAAGCAGGGAGAGACGCTGCCAGAAAGAAGGTAATGGGTGCCCAGGAGCCCCGCTCTCTGTCGCCCAGACTGGGAACAGCCTGTGCCTTTGACAAAGACATGAATGAGCTTGCTCTGTTCAGCAAGAGGCACAGAGAGATCCTGGCTGGAGCGGGGCTGCATGGGTGGGCGGGGCCTGGCAGTCAGGCAGGAGTGGAGAGTGGGCGAAGGCTCGAGCTCCAGCTCTGTGGCCCTGGCTCTCCCCACCGGCTCCTCCACATCTTTGAAGCCGCTCCTGTTCTGTCACAGTGGAGAGAGACTGTTAGAAGCTCTGCAGCCATGCTGGTGGGAGTTAAAGTAACTTAAAGTAACCTTCTTCTTCTTCTTCTTCTTCTTCTTCTTCTTCTTCTTCTTCTTCTTCTTCTTCTTCTTCTTCTTCTTCTTCCTCCTCCTCCTCCTCCTCCTTCTCCTCTTCTTTCTTTCTTTCCTTCCTTCCTTCCTTCCTTCCTTCCTTCTTTCTTTCTTTCTTTCTTTCTTTCTTTCTTTCTTTCTTTCTTTCTTTCTGAGACAGGGTTTCTCCACATAGCCCTGACTGTCCTGGAACTCACTATGTACAATGGCCTCAAATTTACAGAGAGCCATCTGCCTCCTGAGTGTTAGGATTAAAGCCTCCACCGATCCCTAGCTATCAATCAAGTTGTACTTCTTTTCTTTTTTTTTTTTTTTTTTTTTTTTTTTGTATTGTTTTGGAGGCTGTCCTGGAACTCGCTCTTGTAGACCAGGCTGGTCTCCAACTCACAGAGATCCGCCTGCCTCTGCCTCCTGAGTGCTGGAATCAAAGGCATGTATCACCAACACCCGGCTAAGTCGAACTTCTTAAAGTCAGGCAGGGCCGCTGGTGTCCAGAATACCAGCACTTGGAAGGAGACCGAGGCAGGAACATTGCCGGTGACTCTGAGGCCAATACAGCTGCAAGGCTTCTGCTGTTCTCAGTACTCACAGCCCAGAGCGTTGAAAGCCGGTTTAGAGCAGTATTGACAGCTGGTTTTCAGTTTTTTAACACTGAGTTCTAGCGATAAATTGGAGCCAGTCATTCAGCTTCCCCAGGTCTTAGTTAATACATTGATCAAAGAGTTCTCATGAGACTTAGATCATCCATGGGTTCCTATGTCTCCAAACCCAGGCTCCTTTCCGGGGGTTTCCTATCTCGGCAGCAAGACTAAAAGCTCAGGCATTGTTGGGGAATGTTATTTTAAGGTGTGTGACTTTTGTTTATGCTGCATTTGTTTAACTCAGTGAAGCTGTGATTCTTTGCCTGTGTAAAACGCCTGGTGGTCTAATAAAGAGCCGAATGGCCAATAGCGGGGCAGGGGCAAGGGTGGGCGGGGCTGGCAGATGGAGAGGATAAGTAGGAGGAGAGGAGCAAGAGAATGAGAGGAGGACATCAAGGGCCAGCCACCCAGCCACCCAGCCACCCAGCCACCCAGCCACCCAGCCACCCAGCCACCCAGCCACCCAGCCAGTCAAGGAGTAAGAAGGAGAGTAAGAGATGCAGAAATAAGAAAGACAAAAGCCCAGAGGGGAAAAAGGTAGATGGGTTAATATAAGAACAGCTGGCTAGCAACAAGCCAAGCTAAGGCCAACATTCGTAAGTGGTAATAAGACTCCGTGTGTGATTTACTTGGGAGCTGGGTGGTGAGCCCATCAAAAAAGACAAAGGAGCCAAAAGAGGGAGAGCAAAACCTCACTCAGTAGCCCGTGGCTAACAAGAGTGGAGCCCTGCTAATCCTTCCAGAACACACCTTTCTCTCACTTCATGGGCGTCATCCACACTGCCTCTCTCCACACCCTGCAAAGTGCTAATTAAATCTCACATCACACCCCGCTGAAAGGCTCCAAGTATTCCTGTCCCTTGCCATAAGCTCCGAAGTCCCCATCACAGCCTCAGTGTCGCCACCGGAGCCTTCCCTGAACTCCCACGCCCATCCCGCACCTGCCCCCCCACCTCCACGCCCGTCTTTGTCCTGTTCCTAGAACACAACGCCGACCTTTTCTGTGACCTTTGCTGACTTCAGTCCCCGCTCCCCTGCCTTTCCTTTCGCCTGGAACCTTCTTGGCTGACCCACACCCCCACGCCCTGGTGCCCTTGCCTGCCCACCCCGCCTGGAATAGCTTCCTACACCATTGTTGTCCATCACAATGCCCCTTTCTTCGGGGACCGACCACAGCTCCTTATTTTGATTTACTTACTTGCTGTCTTAGATCAGGCTCTCTAGGGAATGGTCCTGAGGAGACAAGGACAAGAAGTAGAGAGAAAATGCTCCCCAAGGGCAGCTGGCAGAGGATGGGACAGGAGTGGGGGAGACGGGACAGATGCAGGGGCTCCCAGTGCAAAGCCTTTACATCAGCTCCCAGGCGTTTCCAGTGTCTTCCAGCTATCCTGAGAACGGGCTTCTGGAAGGTTCCGGGTGAAGGGCTACACCTCAGCATTGCAATGGCCGCAGGTAGCAAGGCTAAGACCATAAGTATCAGTCACACTTTTTTAGCTTATGAAGTTAAAGTTTAGTTACACTGTATCTCCCGGTCCTTTCTCTCTCCTCTCGCCAGCCCCTCCCCTTTCTCCCTCTGAGATCCATGCTCCACTTTTGCTATTGTTTCGCAAACACACACACACACCTTTCTCAGTCCATGTAGTTTTCCTTGTATGTATGTGTACAGTTTCAGGGCTGACCAATTGGTATTGGATAGCCAATTAGGGGCTGGTCCCTGGGAAAGACTCTCTCTCCTCTCTGCATTCCTTAGTTGCTTGTTATTCTTTGTTTAGGGGTAAGGCCTCATGAAACCCCTAATCTCTCGTGTTATTGGTGTTGTAATTCTTATTTTGGTCTTGTCTATTGGTGGTGTAGTTGTTTTTGTCTTGTTCAGGCGGCCATCTTGCTGAGATGTCACGGGTGATTACTCCTGTAAAAAAGATTTTCTAATTAGCCGGGCAGTGGTGGCACACGCCTTTAATCCCAGCACTCGGGAGGCAGAGGCAGGCGGATCTCTGTTGAGTTCGAGGCCAGGCTGGACCGACAGCCTCCGAAACAATGCAGAGAAACCCTGTCTCGTAAAAAAAAAAAAAAAAAAAAGATTTGCTAATTGATTTACATATGTGTGTGTGCCTGTCTCCATATAAGTATACATGCATGTGTGTGTGTGCATGCATGTTGGGGCTAGAAAAGGGGGGGTTGGTATCTTCGTTGCCATTTTCCACCTATCCATTGGAGTTAGAGAGCTCTCCCTGAACCTAGAGCTCCTAGTGGTTGGCTAGGCTAGAAACCAGCAAGCCTCTCTGGTTAGCTAGTGGCAGGCTCCGTCCTCTGGTCTTCAGACACCACAGTCCTGGAACCCGCCCTGTATCAAACTCACAGAGATCCGCCTGCCTCTGCCTCCTGAGTGCTGGGATTAAAGGCGTGAGCGGCCACCACCCGGTTCCATAACACTTCTTGACCACATGGTAATACCCTGTCTTAAAACAACGACATCTGAACCCTTTGGGGATGCTGTAACAGGCTTCCTTGGACCACCAGCCTCCAAATCATGGCGCAGAGACTTAATAGTAGTTATGAGTGCTCAGTCCTATGCTTGTCTCACTTGCTCTTATAACTTAACCCATTTCTCTTCATCTACACTTTCCCTCAGGGATTTTTATCTTTCTTTCATTTTATATGTCCTACTTTCCTGCTTCTTCCGTGTCTGTCTGTCTGACCCCAGGCATCTCCCTGTTTTCATTCTCTCTAGAGCCTAGACTCCTCCCCCCACTTATTCTCTCTGCCCACCAGCCCCGCCTTTCCCTCTCCTGCCTCGCTATTGGCCAATTCAGCTTTGTATTAGACCAATCAGGCGCCTTAGGCAGGCCAGGTGAAACAGCAACACATCATCTTTACATAGTTAAATGTTCAACCCTGCAACAGGATACTTGTATGTAGCTCAGCAACACAGCACAGGCCTAGGATGTACAAGGTCCCAGTATCCGTCTCCAACACAAGACTAGAAAGGAAGCCTCTGGTTTATCAGACGTGGTGACCTCCCAGATTCTCATCGGACCTGCACTCCCCCCTCACCCTCTACTTGGCCTGCTAGTCTCTTCTGGGTGCAGTCCTTGAGTTACAGCCTTTATAATAAATGAACAAGTGTCCATAAGTTGTCTTCCCAAACTTTTTTTTTTTTGGTTTTTCAAGACAGGGTTTCTCTGTGGCTTTGGAGGCTGTCCTGGAACTCGCTTGGTAGTCCAGGCTGGTCTCGAACTCACAGAGATCCGCCTGCCTCTGCCTCCCGAGTGCTGGGATTAAAGGCGTGCGCCACCAACGCCCAGCGTGTCTTCCTAAACTTTATGGGGAAAACGCCTCTCTCTTAGAGAGGTTTCTTTTGGAGGGGGGAGGGGAGTTGAGAAGGCGGTTCTATGTGTCCTGGAACTTGCTCTGTAGACCAGGCTAGCCTGAAACTCAGAGATCTGCTGGGACAAAAGGCATTTGCCACCATGCCTGGCTGTCTCCCTTAAGTGAAACCCTAACGAATCCCTCCCCCTCCACTAGCCCCTAGCTGACCTACACATTGCTAACTTTGGAGGTCACACGCTCAGTTACGCTCTGCGGCCACTTTCTACTGACTTTGGGGCAGGTAGCTGCCCCCGCTGAGGGTTATGTAGGTCATGATGACAGCTGCTCGGGTTACTTTATATGCTCTCAGAGACATCCCTGGCTGGTTTTCAGACTGCCAGAGGGCTGGGAGAAAGGCTTGGCATCCCTGTTGCGTATCACGCCTGTCTCCTTTGTTGCCTTAACCTGTGGGGCGTCTCCCACTCAGCTCTGCGCGTAGGCACGTTGGACATGTCAAAAAGCGTTCTGTCGGAACTACAGCGCAGGGTTAGTTTGACCTAAACATGCCTAGCCTCGCTCTTCCTCCACCAAGGCTAAAGATATCTTCAGCTGGGACTGGAGAGGTGGCTCAGCAGTTGAGAGCACTGTCTGTTCCTCCAGAGGCCTGGGGTTCACGGTTGTCTGTAACCACAGTCCTCGGGGACCTGATGTCCCACCAGATGCACAGACGTGCAGGAAGACAAAACAGTCAACAGATAAAATAAATATTTTTCTAAAAAGCCATCACTAGCCAAGGTACATGGAGCATCTGACGCTGAGAGGCTTGAAAGACCACACAACTCTGGAAGACCTTCACTGATCCCAGAAAGGACAAGAGCATTCCTCCGTGGTGTCAGTCTTCCCTGGACCCCATATTCCTGTGCTGCATCTAATCACCCAAATCTAATTGGGGCTGAGAAGCTGACTCATGAGCAAAGCTCTCCCCTCTCCGTCCTTTGGCTGCTGAAGTAAGCCCGTTTTTAGCCCCAAGACTGACTTTGTTTTTTCCCGAGGGATAAGTACCCAAACTTGAATCCTACAGTCATAGCTGCTTTTCTATGCCGTGGTGAGACACCAGAACCAAGACAGCTTACAGAAGAAAGCGTGTACTGGGGCTTACACTTCCAGAGCGTGAGCCTGGGAGCATCACAGCACAAACACTGCAGGAGGCAGGCGGGCCATGTGCTGGGACAGTAGCTGAGAGATCTATCCTGATCTACACGCCCAAGGAGGCTATGGTAGTTTGATTCCAACTGGGAATGGGTTTTTTGAAACCTCAAAGCCTCCCCGTGACACACCCCCTCCAATAAGGCCACACCCCCTAGTACTCTCCAAAGACTTTAACTAAATGGGGGCCAAAAGGACGCAAACATATGAGGCTATGGGACCATTCTCACTGAAACTACCGCACTCCACTCCCTGAACCTCACAGGTGCAATTGTAGCTGCATCGTAACGCAAAATGCATTGAGTCCAGCTTCAAAAGGTCCCATAGTCTTTCATCGTCAAGGCCAATGTCTCTGCTGGGATGCGGGGCAATCTCTTAATTGTGACCCCCCCCCCCCCCCGTAAAATAAAACACACGAGAGCCAAGGCAGGGGCATTAGACACTCCAGATCATTTTTTTTTGTCTACCTGCCATGTTCTAGATCTCGCCTCAAAAAAAAAAAAATCAACTCAGAATCAGCTCAGATACAGGCCAACCAATTCATTAGCCACCCTATTGCAAAGAAGAGAGCCAGCTAGCCGGGCGTTGGTGGCGCACGCCTTTAATCCCAGCACTTGGGAGGCAGAGGCAGGCGGATCTCTGTGAGTTCGAGACCAGCCTGGTCTACAGAGTGAGTTCCAGGACAGCCTCCAAAGCCACAGAGAAACCCTGTCTCGAAAAACCAAAAAAAAAAAAAAAAAAAAAAAAAAAAAAGAGAGAGCCAGCTGCAGTTGGGTTGTACAGGGAGTAGGCCTGAGGTGGCGGTTAGCTTGAATTGAGAATTTTAAGAAGTGCCCCATAGGAGCTGGAGAGATTGCCCAATGGCTACGAACATGGCTGCTCTTTCAGAGGACCCAGGTACGATTCTCGGTACCGATGTGGTGGTTCACAACCATCTAATCACAGGTCCGGAGATCCAACACCCTTTTCTGGCCTCCGCAGGTACCGCATGCACACATTATACAGACATACATGCAGACAGGACACCCACACCTATAAAATAAAGTTAAATTAAATTAAAAAAATAAAAAGAAGTGCTCCTGGGACCACCACTAAAGATGAAAAAAATAAAAATGAAGCTTGGTGGTGCACAGCATTAACCCCACTCGTTGTGTGTGAGGCCATCCTAGCCTACACAGTGAATTTCAGTCCAGCTAGAGGGACACATCGAGATCTCCTATCAAAAGAGGGATGAGGAGGATGACGAGAAGAAGAAGGAAACTGATCATGGCGGTGCACGCCTGTGATCCCAGGACTAGGAGGGGCCGAGGGAAAAAAATTGGCACAAGTTTGACCCCCCAGCCTGGGCTACACAGTAGGTTCCAGACTTGCCTAGGCTACATACTGAGAACTTATCTCAAAAACCAAACAGAGGAAAGAAAGACGAGACAGTGAAAGGGAGAAAGGGAGGGAGGGAGGGAGAGAGGGAGGGAAGGGGAGGAGGAGGGAGGGGAGGGGAAGGCGGGGAGGAGGGGGAGGAGCTACCCTGTAATGGGTACTCTGGCCGGAGCCTCAGCTGGACCATAGAAGACTCTGGGGCTGGCAGTGTCAAGAGTTGCCTTGAGTTTAGTGGTTCCAGACTTAGCAAATAAAAGCATAGCCTGGTCCAATCAGACTCGAGCTTCCTATAAACAGTGAGTAATCTTTAGCAGGTGACCCCTGCTTTACAGCATGCTTCTGTCACCGTCTATCTGAAACTCAGATGAACTAAGCATCGTGCGCGATGTCGCCTAGCAGCCGGTTGTCTGAACCCAGACTCCTCCAGCAGCTGGGCTTGACCTTAGGGGATCAAATTCTTTTCAGCGGAGGTAACCCTCATGCGGTCTGACCGGCTGCCAGCAGCCCACTCAGCCACGGAGGAAACAGGTCCTTTGGGTTTTGACGGAGAACTGAGGGCGTCTGTCGGGATATCTGCTACAGCAACTGACTCCTGATAACTCGCTTCCTATAACGTACTCGGGGAATGTCGCATTGTGCAGAATTAAAGAGAGGCTCAGAGAATCAGCGGAGAGCTAAGGAGCATGGGGGGCGGGGCAAGGTCACTCTGCAGTGACAACCTGGTTGAGCTGTTGCTGTAGGGGCTAAGAACAGCTGACCAGCCAGTGCAGTCTCAACTTTTCGACCACCGTCTCGAGTAACAACAGACCTCCACTATCCTGTCAGTCCTTCAAGTCCTAGTGTGACTAGGCTGGGTTGGGTCGATATGGACCTTCCAGGCCTACGGTGGCAAGAGATGCCTTGCTTATTGCCTCCCACACAAAGGCCACCTTAGGGCCGTATCAGGGAGGGCATCAGGAGCGGGGGAGGTCTCTGAGAACATGTCTGAATCATAGCCCAGAGCAGTTTACCTCAAGACGTGCAATCAAGCAGCTGAGCTGGGTATGTAGCTCGGTTGGTGGAGCGCCTGACTAGGGTGAATGAAACCCTGGGTTTGATTCCCCAGCACCACATAAAAATAAATAAATAAGCCGGGCGGTGGTGGCGCACGCCTTTAATCCCAGCACTCAGGAGGCAGAGGCAGGGGGATCTCTGTGTGTTCGAAGCCGGGCTGGACCGACAGCCTCCAAAACAATACAGAGAAACCCTGTCTCGTAAAACCAAAAAATAAATAAATAAATAAATAAACAAACTAAACAGGTGTGATGGTGCCTGGTGCCTGAAATCATAGCATTAGGAGAGTTGGGAATTCAAGGTCATCCTCTGCACCCCCCCAAAAAAATGTTCTAGGCTATCCTAGGCTACATAAGATTCTGTGTCTAAAAAAAAAGGAAAGAAAAGAAAAATCCAGCCGTGAATCAACGTGAGCACACTGTAACCCCAGAAGTTTTAGACCAGCTTGAGCTTCATAAGATCCCATCTCAAAAAACAAAACAAAAAAAACCCCACCCCATTTTATCATATCCTTTTAATGATAGTCTGATGCTATTGCTCATTTGGGTTTGATTTTGTTTTGAGACAGGGTCCTCTGTGTCGTCCAGGCTGTCCCCTAGCTTCTGTCCCCTCAGCCAATTCAACCGCCTCCCACAGGGACCGGGATTCCAGCCACACGTGTTTAGCTAGAGACTTTTACCAGTTTGGGGGTCTCAAATGATCTTGCAAATGCCTGTGCTACATTTGTCTCCTAAAGACACTCTAGTTTTAAATATTGGATCGCACTGTTTCTTCTCACTTCCGGGGTGTCAAATTCGGAACCTTTTCCCTGCTAGACAAGCCGTCTACCCATAAACTACACCCCTACTAGACTATTTCTATTTGCAGGTTTTCCAGACACAGCCGTTCTGTGCGGTCCACGCTGTCCTTGAACCTGGCATCCCCTGTGTCCGGCACTTTAGTGCTAGCATTACAGATGTGAGTCATGACACCCAGCTTGGATTAGCGTCTTCTGATGAGGCTGTCTCCTTCCTGAATTTATAAACAAGGCTGTTTGACTGCTTCCAAATAGACGGGAACTCGGATGTCATTAAAGAACAGTTCTTTAAACTTTGGATCTCAGTCTGCCTCTGGGCTGTAAAACTAATCCCAACGTGTTATTTATTAATCCTTTCAGTGGCAGAGCTATAGCAGAGGAGAAAGGACGCTGTAGTTTTGTGGGCGTTTTCTTGTTCTCTTTACCTGAGAGCATAGGCTGGGCTTTAATACAAAGCCATTTCTTACTGGAGATGGATCCTCTATAACCATAGTATTTTTTTTTTTTTTGGTTTTTCGAGACAGGGTTTCTCTGTGGCTTTGGAGGCTGTCCTGGAACTCACTTTGTAGACCAGGCTGGCCTCGAACTCACAGAGATCCACCTGCCTCTGCCTCCCGAGTGCTGGGATTAAAGTCATGTGCCACCAACGCCCGGCTTCATAGTATTTTTTTCAACGAATAAAATTCGTAATATATATTAGTACATGTGTTATTAAAGCATAGTTGCCAATGCTGGAAAAACATACAGTTCTGAGAGCCAGAGGGTCACAGGAAGAAAAAACAAAACAAAACAAAACCAGGGAAGCCGGGTGGATACAAGTTCAAATCCTAACCGGTTCTGCCCTTATTAGCAGAGAGGCAGAATTGGACAAGATTGTTGGTGGTGGTGGGGGGGGTTAGTATTCAGGCATCCGTGCTGGCCTGCCCTTGGGGTCCTGACAGGACACGCCCTCGGCTGCAGCCACTAAGAGTACCACCTGTGCACATTCCCTATGTTCCCTTTTACAAGGGCCCCACCCAGCCCCATTTCTCTTTTTGTCTCTCTCTTTGCTTCTCTGCCTGTCTCTCTTTCTCGACTTCTCTCCCCCCTTCCCTCCCCTCCCCCTTTGTTCTATTCCAATTCCCCTAAATAGAAAACCCCTCCGTGTGAGCACGGCATCTTTCTCTCTCTCACGCCGCCTTTGAAAATTACAACGATGTTGGTGGTTTGGGGGGGGGGCTGGTCTTACTGCATTGCCCAGGCTGGTCCCAAACTCATTATCGTCTTACCTCACCCCACGAGTGCTAGAGCTGCAGGCCTGTGCCTCTCCACCCTCTGTGTATGGCCTGTCACCGGTATGTGTGCCACACTGTCTCCGCCTTTGAGCCTCTGCATGCCTGTCCCCTTCTCTGAGGAGGGAGACCCGTGCTCGCATCACCCACGGCGGACGCTTTACGAGCCTTCTCATCCTCGCTGTGGCTGACACCTACCCCCGCCCCACACGCTGAGCTGTATTTGGTTTTGTTGGGTTTTGTCTGTTTTGCGCTTTGAGGGGTGGAACCCCAGGGTCACGATGCTTGTGGACAGCCTAGCCACTGTTTTCAGAAATAATCCCAATTTTTAAAAATTTCCCCTCCTATCTCTGGGACAATCCATCCACTGCTCAGTTCAAAAGTGCATTGCTTCAGCTGGTCATAGTGGCACACAACTTTTGATCCCAGCACTTGGGGGGGGTGGAGTGGGTGGGGCAGAGACAGGAAAACCTCTGTGAGTTCGAGGCCAGCCTGGTCTACATGGCCAGCTCCAGAGATATTAAGGGAGACACTGTTTGCAAAAAAACAAAACAAACAAACAAACAAATGAACAGATGACGACGACAAAACCTTCTCACCCCTCTATGGGGAATCTTTGTTGTGAAACTCCTCTGTCCCTTCCTGGTGGGCGCTGATCCCTCTTCCTCTGAGTTTCTGGTGTCCTTGTTGGTTTTACCACCAGCTAAGCCTTCAGCTCTACTCTGCCTTCCTAACCCTGGTGGCTAACGCTCCTACTTATGGGTATCTTATCTTCGTCTTCTTCTCTAGCTTTTCCCAAGCACCAGAAACCATTTTTAGCAGGCATGTTGAGTAGCTGCCCAGTATCATTGTGTTTGCTTTCTGTGACTGTGATAAAAATGCCAGTGCAAGCTAGATTAAAGGCAGAAAGATTGTCTTTGGCCCTGCTGCATGTGTATAGCAAGCATTGTGACAAGGGTCCACCAAAGGAAATGGCAAAACAAAGACAGCAGAGAGAGGAAGGTCAGGGTTACAGATCCCTTCAGGACCAAGCCTAGTTCTACTAAGTCCTACCTCTCAGTAACACCACAGGCTGTCACGCAAGCTTCCACAGCTAGATCTAAGCTATCAGAAACATCGACAGGCGTTTATCGACCAACGGTGGGTGTGTCAAGGCATACACAGCTACAGACATAATTCCTAAAATCTACAGGCAGAGAGGGAGGTGATGGGGGACGTCCTTCTGTGTATATGTTTCTCTATTGTTTGATGAAGAAAACACCGTTTGACAAATAGAGGCAGGAAGGTAGGCGGAGATAGGAGATGAGGAGAATTCTGGGTAGGCAGAGAGAGACCCGGAAGAGATGCCATGAAGAGACTGGGAAGGTAGGATGTACCAGGTGTCCTCTGGTAAGATAAGGCCATGTAGAAATACATAGATGAGTAGTTATGGGTTAATAATTAAGGGAGAGCTAGCCAGTAAGAAGCCCTAGACATTGGCCAACAGTTTTATAACTAATACAGCGTCCGTGTGTTTATTTGGAGCTGAAGAGCAGCGGGGCCTGGAGGGACAAGACTCTGTGTAGGTGTCCAGTGTTCATGGAACTGGGGAGACATTGTTAGAATCAAAGAGTGATCTCAGTGCTGTACAAAAGAACACACAGACAATGCAAAATGAACTCAGCAAGGCAAGTCTTGCAAAAAGGGTCCACCAAGACCCAAACTGGTCTAGCAAGCCCCCTTGGCCAAGGTGGCTTCCATCTTTTATCCCTGAAGTAGGTGGTGAGTGACTGGAGCTCAAACTATTGGTGGGAACTCAATTGCACAGAGCGATGGGGTTGGCTAACCTGTGCAAAAGAGAAGGAGGGTGGGCTCTGGAAACACGAGACCTTGCCAGGCTACCTACCTCTGATAGAAAAACCCGTTTCTCAGGACGTGATGCTAAATGCCCAGGTGGTCGCTGTGCTTAACGCGGTCACACAGTCAAGAAGCTTGCTCCTCCAAGCTTTAGTGCTTGTGTCCTCCTCTGGAATCTTGCTGATGATCAAGGCATCAAGACGTTCAGCGTGGGGCTTCTGAAGAGAGTCAGCAACAGAGCCTTGTGGATGGAGCCTCAGCCTTTAAAGGAGGGTTTATTTTTTATATACCAAAGATGTCAGCGACAGTGAAATACAGTAGCAGTTTCAAATTTGGCTACTAGAGTCATCTAAAGAATTAGAAGCAAACAAAACCAGGTGGATTCTGGATCTACCTGCTGGAGGTTGGGGCTTGGACGCCAGGAGTTTTGAAGCCGTCCAGAGAGATGGGTGTGGTGGTGTACACTAATGACCCCCGCTGCCCTTGGGATATGGCGTCATGATGATCAGGTCATCCTTGGTTATACAGAGTCCAAATCTGAGACACGTGAGACTCTGTCGCAAAATAAATGGACAACCAAAAAAACCCAGAAAGAGAACTGAAAGGTGTGAGTGCTTACTAGCATTAGTGGGGCTCTGGGTTCGATTCTTGGCACTACCCAAAATAATAAGTAAGCAAATAAATAAATAAACAAGCAAATATTAATTTTTAAAAAGCTAGATGGCCCAGTGAGATGGCTAGCTTGCACAAACTCAGGGACCATGCCCATCATCACATGTACTGGGCGTGGTTGTGCATACCTGTAATCCCAGCATTGGGGAGTTAGAAGACAGACACCCACAAGTCCAAGGCAGTTTTTGGCCACATCATGAATTTGAGGCCAGCTTGGGATAGATGAAACACTGTCTTAAAAGAATAAATAGCCGGGCGTTGGTCGTGCACACCTTTAATCCCAGCACTCGGGAGGCAGAGGCAGGCGGATCTCTATGAGCTCGAGGCCAGCCTGGTCTACAGAGTGAGCTCCAGGACAGCCTCCAAAGCTACGCAGAGAAACTCTGTCTCAAAAAAACTAACCAACCAAACAAACAAATAAGGGTTGTCAAGATGGCTCAGCGGGTAAAGGCGCCTGCTGCCAAGGCCACTGGCCTTAGTTCCGTTCCCAGGACCCTCAGGATGGAAGAAGAGAAAGGACTCTTTCTAGTTTCCCTCAGATCTCCACATGGATGTGGTGGCATGAACATGCCCATATACAGATATGCCCACAGACATACATACATACACACATGTGCATAGCATAACTAAAATATTTTTTAAAATAAGTAAGTAAAATAAGACGATTTTAGCTGACCTCCTCCAAAGTTGAGCACCTCTCTGGTCACACTTTTTTTTTTTTGAGACAAGGTCTCGATATGTTACCCTGGCTGGCCTTGAACTGACAGAGGTCTGCCTCCCTCTGCCTTCTGAGTGCTGGCATCAAAGTCACCATGCCCGGCTCACCACTTATACTTTAAATGTAAGCCTGTTTGGTACGTGATTGTTGCAAGGAATATAGAATGCTCCAAAGTTGCCCACAGGTGAAGACCTAAATGCCATATACATGTGAGTTTTTCCCTCTTCTGGATGGGACATAAAACAAGTCTAAAATGACTTGATGTTCTTCCAAATCGCTGTGTAACTAGCTATCACTGAGCAAACTTCTGGAAGGCTTTGCCAATAGCGTATGCCCGTATCCTGTTTAACGAGTACGCCGGGCCAATTTTCCAGTGTGGGTAAACCCTGGTCTGTGGGAACAGATCATTAAAGTCACCTGGTGGCTTACCAAGACAAGAGCAGAGGTGACAAACTACAGACTGCTGGAGCTGGCGGGAACCCGGAAGTAACACTTTCTAGATTTTAGTTTGCACGCCGGTCGCCCGGAGATCCCCGCTGCTCGTGGGAAGCCAACTCTCAAGGTGTGGTAGGAGCTTACTCTGCTGTTCCAGGGATCACATCTGCATCACAAAGCTTGTCTGGAAAACGTCTGGCTTACGGACATGCATTCGATGTTTTTTAAGGCTTATTAATTGCTTTAATTATTTATTTATTATGCATACACTTTTTTAAAATCTGTATACATGCTTGTACCCCAGGAGGAGGCATCACACCTCATTACAGATGGCTGTGAGCCACCATGTGGTTGCTGGGAATCGAACTCAGGACCTCTGGAAGAGCAGCCAGTGCTCTTAACCTCTGAGCCATCTCTCAAGCCACTTCATTATATTATTTTTAATTGCTCACCTGTGTGTAGATATGCCTAGGTAAGGTGCGGGTGCCAGTGGGGGCCTGATGCAGCTTCTGGGAACTGAACTCAGGTCTTCGGAGAAGCAGGGAGTAGTGTTCTTAACTTCTGAACCAGCTCAACGTTTGTTGTTGGGGGGAAAAAAAAGTCAGCAGCTTGGTTCAGCAGGTGGAGACACCGGCCGACCTGTGTTCATAGAACAAAATTCTCGCACACTGTCCCCTGGCCTCCACGTGCGTGCACACAATAAAGAAATAAATGTTAAAGAAGGAGGGGCCAAGCTGGGCGTGGCGGCACATGCCTTTAATCCCAGCCCTCGGGAGGCAGAGGCAGGTGGATCTCTATGAGTTCGAGGCCAGCCTGGTCTACAGAGAGTTCCAGGACAGCCTCCAAAGCAATACAGAGAAACCTGTCTCAAAAAAACAAAACAAAACAAAAAAATTTTTAGAATTTCCAATATCAAGTCCCACCCCAGGTCAAACAAATTAAGCCTTGGTATCCTTTCAAAATTCCAGACCTCACTGGCTCGCTTTCTTCTGTTCTCTCGTTTTCTACACTCGACTTTAGCCAAGATGCCGAGGAGCGATCTCCTCCTCCCTGTCATTCCTCTCTTTCTTTCCAGGGTGGGTGAACTCACGCAGCACCTCCTACACGCGAGCAGCACACGACCCCTGAATTACACCCTGTCCCTACCTGTCGCCCAGCTGAGACAGGACCATCCACGCCGCGTGAAGAAACTGAGAGCCAGATGGATGAGGGAGGTGGAGAGAGAGCCTGCGCCCCACGTTGGGAAACCGGCACCCGGAGTTCAGACTGTAGAAGCCCTGCTGATCTCCCCGGACAGGAAGCAGAGTCGTGGTTGCCGGGCGGGCGCTGGGGTCAGGCAAGCTGCTCACCACCGACCCCGCGTTTCTTAGAGGGGTGATGAGAGCTTTCTCAAACTGCAGTGCTGGTGACTCACGGCCCGTGCACGCACCGGATGCGGTAACGGTGTGAGTCGTACGGCGTGTGAGCTACGTGGTTCGGTTTGCTTGGTTTTGGTTTCTGCAGACGGATTCTGACTAAGCCCCACCAGGCTGCTCTTGAACCCTTCGGTGTTGGAGCGCAGACATCACAGGCCTGAGCTAACATGCCCGGCTGCTTGTTATTGTTGTTGTTGGTTTGTTATTGTTTGTTGATGGAGGGCCAACCCAGGGCCTATACATAATGGGCTGGGCGAGCACTCTACCAACTAGGCACACTCACTTAAAAAAACTTTTTTTGGCGGGGGGGAGATCTAGTATATCACAATGCTAAGGAAAGACATTGGCGAACGATGAGTTTCAAGTTTGGGCTACATGGTAAGGCTGTGCGTGTGACACACAGTGTGTGTGTGTGTGTGTGTGTGTGTGTGAGAGAGAGAGAGAGAGAGAGAGAGAGAGAGAGAGAGAGAGAGAGAGAGAGAGAGAGAGAGAGAATGTGTTGTGCAGGGGTGTACAGGCTGAGGTTGGCATCTGTGTAGATGTGTGTCTCTTTGTTTGTCTTGTAAAGGCCACCACCCTCTGCATACACCCCAGACTTCCACAGTGGCATGGCCTCCCAGGCTATCCATCCCATTTGGCCCCTCGACTACCCCAGAAGTTTGGGACTGAACCATCAAAATTTCAGTCCCCACCAAGTTAAGTGAATCTTGAAGGCAGATGTGTTGCTTCCAAGGACCTCTAGAGCTGAAGAGAGAGAGAGAGGGAGAGATAGACGGAGAGAGAGAGAGAGCAAATGGGACAAGAAACTAGACTCCCCCATTCCCAGAACCCATTGGCACATTTGAATGTATTTAAGGCATATGCGTATTTCATATTTCATAAGATTAAGCAGACCCTAATAGTAATAGGTTCAAAGCTGGCGATCGTTAGGTGACTGGCAGGCAGAAAACAGTATTCTCTATTTAAAAAAAAAAAAAACCATTCTTTGAATGCTAATTTGGTTGTTTTGTTTACATTTATTTTTTGGGGGGTGCTTGGTGGTGGTGGTGGGCATTACGTGTATGCCACGGCATGCCTGCAGAGGTCAGAGAACCACACACAGGACTCATTTGAACTCAGGTTGTGGGCTTTGATGGACAAGTGCCTGTAACCACGGAGCCAGCCCCTGGCCCTTGCTTGTTATTTTTGGGGGGGAGGGGCAGTTTCTTGTAACCTTGAGTTCCTGATGCCCTTGCCTCCATCTTCCTAACCCTGGGTCACCCATGCCCAGTCTACTTTGAACCTACCCAATGGAAAATGAGATAGGGCAAAGGGATATTTGAAATCCCAGGCTGAATCCTCTTCAGAGCCAGGGCAAAAGTTAGGGCGGAATCTCTCCGTGAGATCCGATTGCACCTCCTTTTAAATCTTGCCAAAGGGGATCTGGGATGACTCAAGATGACTTGGGTCCTTCCCAGAGGAACATTTTTTTTCTTCTTCCAAGCCAATTCCTGAAGTGCAGCCATAGCCAATCAGAGAAGCATTCCCCCCAGATACTGAATGGAGACTAATTGTTAATCCACACACAAATTCGAGGCTGTTAACCAACAGAGAGAGAGAGAGAGAGAGCCTCTTTATACGCACTCCTCCAGGAACTTTCTCCAGGGAACAAGACGGCGAAAGTCAAGAGCAGTGATTATTCTCTCATTACTTCTGGAACACGGAGAGTCTTAATGGATTGATGTCAAGGCAGGCATTCAAACCCATCTGTTTTCTGGGGATGGACCAGAACCCCTTTCAGAGGCATCCGGGGTGGTTTCCAGCTCATGGAGGTCACTTAGGAAGTTCATAATGTGAGCTGTATTTGTTCTGCTGTGTCCTCTATGCTTGTTTGTGGGGTCTGGGCTTTGCAGCCCAGTCTTGCGGCCGCACTGTGTCATTAGAGGTCCCTTCCTTCCAGATGACGCTGGCTTGTGCCGTTGAATTGACACAAAATCATCAGCACAGGGTCTAAGGGACAGAACTCATATATGGGGCTCGGTGGCAATGGTAAGAGTTCCTTTGCCTTCTGAGCCGTCTTACCAGTCCTGTAATGGATCTTTTAACCTTTTTTTTTTTTCAGTTATTTTAGAGGACGGGACACACACACACACACACACACACACACACACACACACCCCAGCTGTAATTCTCAGCTTCTCAGCTCAGGCTCTCTCCTTTAGCATTTTCAAGAGTTAGAGCCCTTTGATGGGTGAGGTCTTTCCCTCAAGACCTCCTCTCTGGTCCCAGTCCCGTGGTCCCCGCCCCCCGCCCCCACCCCCGGCCCCCCACCCTTCGGCTGTTCGTTATGAACTTGCCAGCTCCTCCCTTCCTGCCTTTGGAGAAGTCTGATTTTTCTTGTACTGACTCTTCTCCCTCTGGAAGTGGCTCAGAGCCAGCTTCTGCTCCTCCATCTCACCCAGAACGCAAGGCCCAGCGTCCTAAAGTCACTGCTCTGTTTTGCCTCTAATTTGGCTAAAAACCCTTTGCTTCATAAATAATAACAACAAGTAGGTAGGCGGGCCAAAAGTTAACACGATTAAGACAGAATTATAAGCAGCGGCAATATGTGATCGGATAGCATGCTGAAGGAGACAGGGATACAGGGACACTGGGTATATATTTGAGAAAGATGTCTTTTGGGAATGGGAAGCTTGGGCCCCAGAAACTTAACAGTCACCAAAGCTCAGAGTAAAATTCGTGATCGCACGCCTTTAATGCCAGCACTTGGGAGGCAGAGGCAGGTGGATCACTGTGAGTTCGAGACCAGCCTGGTCTACCAAGCGAGTTCCAGGACAGCCTCCAAAGCCACAGGGAAACCCTGTCTCGAAAAACCAAAAAAAAAAAAAAAAAAAAAATTCGTGATCACGGAGAGTAAGTTTTAGAGAGAAGATTCTTCTAGATTCATAGATGGGAACTGAGTTGAGCCTACACGGAAGTGGGTCACGTGACGGGAAGGGAGCATCAGAGATGTGGAGGGAACCGGAGTTGCTAGAAGTGTGTCTGGGCTCTGGGGCGGAGAGAAGGAAAACTTAAAACGACAGGCAGACTCAACAAAACCCCCAGGAAGACTTGTAGGCAGGCAGATCTCTGTGAGTTCGAGGCCGGGCTGGCCCGACAGCCTCCAAAACAATACAGAGAAACCCTGTCTCGTAAAAACCAACAAAAAAAAAAATTAAGGTGAACCTGCCTTTCCAGGGTGGCCCTGCTTCCTGAAGAGTGGTCCCTTAGCCAGGGCATTGGCCGGCCTAACTAGAACCTGAGGGCTCCATCCAAACAAAACAGTTCATTCTCTTGTCCAGAAGGAAATTCTTGACCTTAGTGGGTCTTAGCCACCACCGTGACAGCAGCATGGACATGGTCTCTGAAATGAAACAAATGTGATGCTGGTCCCAGCTGTTGCTACGCCGGCAAATGTGATGCTGGTCCCAGCGGTTGCTACGCCGGCAGAGCTTGCTACATCTTCCGCCTGTGGCTGTTCTCACTCTCGGCCTCACCTTGAGGCAGGGTAGTCCTTGTTTCACTAATTGTTAACTATCGTAGCTGACACTACTGTTGAATTTTCATGACAAATGAAGAACTCGTAAAAATAACCATCATTTGTCTGACATTTCTGTTTGCACTTGGGTTTGCAATATTTTGGCAATTTTGTTGACATAAATATCTTCGAGGTTTGGCAGGGCTGTGGTGACAAACATTTAATCCCAACACTCGGGAGGCAGAGGCAGATGGATCTCTGTGAGTTCGAGGCCAGCCTGGTCTACTGACTGAGTTCCAGGACAGGCTCCAAAGCTACAGAGAAACCCTGTCTAAAAAACATAAAAAGAAAAGAATCGTTGAGGTTTTATCAGATTGTCCCACTGTAGGACACACACCGTATCTTGTTGAGTTGTCCTTTAAGTTGATCTGTAGCCCAAGCAAGCCTTGAACTTGTAATCCTCCTGCCTCCCACCACCTGCCTGCATGCAGACCCGAGACACCAGGCCAGATCCAACTTCCAGACGTCCCACTCTGACACATGCTGGGCAGGCAATAGCCTGTGTGTGTGTGTGTGTGTGTGTGCGCACGTGCGTGTGCGTGTGTGTGCGTGTGCGCGTGTGTGTAAACGAGCAGACGTCTAGCCTTCTATCAGAGCCGGAGAAGCGAGATGACGGCAGGTCTTCTCCCGCTCTCTGCTGCCCCATCTGCTGGTGGTGAAACAGTGGGCCGCTCAGTCCCAGGCTTTGGTAACAGGCGCTTGGCTCTGGCGCTCGGAACAGAAAGAAAAGGAGGTCAAAGGGGGGAGTGAATGCGGGCACTGCGGCTTGTAATACTCTTCTATGAATGGTAGGGCCTCTTGCAGGCGCGGACAGTACCGCCGTGATGTTTAGTTTCATCTGTCACCAGGACACGGTCTAGAATCGCCTCAGGAAAGAGCCTCATTGAAGAACTGTCTGAACTTGCTCTGTAGACCAGGCTGGCCTCGAACTCACAGAGATCCGCCTGCCTCTGCCTCCCGAGTGCTGGGATTAAAGGCGTGCGCCACCACCGCCCAGCTCCGGTATTTTCAAATTTGCTTTTGTCGGTATTTTATCGCAGCCATAGAAAGGAGACAGGGACAGGCAGCTACCCACAAAGCCTCGCCAGGCCCAGGCGACAAAGCCGCAGCAGCCGCAGTTCTGTGGCCCTCCCGCGGGCTTCTTTTCATGCAGGTGGCCGTGGGGGGGCCAGAGTGTCCCCGAGGGAAGTAGGGAGCCCAAGCTCGGTATCTCGAGGGTGGATGTTGGTTTCGGCCTCAAGGCTTTCTTTCCTCCTTGGAAATCTCACGCTCTTCAGGCCAACGGCCAAGCTGCCTCCAGACTCCTGTAGCCGTCTGTGCCTTTGGCTGCGCAGTGTCTGTCACCTGTCTTCCCTCTGGTGATGCGGTGACGCTGCTTTACTAGCTCGTGCCCAAGCTGGTCCTTGGTTCTCAGGGGCATCGTGCTGGTTGCCTGAAATCTGCCACAAGAGGAGTGTTCCCGCCCGAGACATTGGCGAAGGTGTACAATCTTTTTTTTTTTTTTTTTTTTTTGAGACAGGGTTTCTCTGTATTGTTTTGGAGGCTGTCCTGGAACTCGCTGTGTAGACCAGGTTGGCCTTGAACTCACAGAGATCCCCCCTGCCTCTGCCTCCCGAGTGCTGGGGTTAAAGGCGTGCGCCACCAACGCCAGGCTGCGGTGTACAATCTTATCGTGGTTCATTTTTTCCTTCGGACATTGGACTCAAGACCTTGTACACGCACGCCAGGCAAGTACTGAGTTACACCCCTCATCGCCCACTCTTTGTCTAGATTGTTCCTGCTCACCCTCCACGCGTGTTCTGTGAAGCTTTCTCAGATTCCCACAGAGCAATATGGAGATGCAATCAACTTCCCTGATAAGTATGCGGGGCTGGGTGCTGTCCAAACACAGCCCTCACGCCTCCATCAAAGCCTTTGCATCCTGTCGTCGGTAAGTGTTTGACTGTCTCCCCAGAAGCTTCTGTGGGCGAAGACTGCGATCTATGTTGGTCTGTAAAACCCTCTAGGGAGGTGGCTTACAGAGTGAGGTCTTTGTGAATGCCTTCCTATTTGATTGAGTAGAAAGTAGGGGGAAGAAACTGCATTGCATTCCCTGGGTGTAATACCGACATTGTGAGCGGTGCTGAATGTTTTCTCAAGAGCTTCCGAGGGACAAGTCACATACGAACTCTACACAACAAACCTGTACAAGGGCGCTAGCCATCTAAGGGTTCTGGGGGTGTTGGCAGGCGCGCTTGGGGCTGTAAAAACTGAGGTATGAAGCTGGGGGCTTATGTCTCTGGAGATTAGGTGGGGGAAGCATTACAGTTTTATAACATTTATGTGTGTGTGTAAGTGTGTGTGAGTGTGAGTGAGTGAGTGAGTGTGTGCATATGAGTGTGTGCGTTTGAGTGTGTATGTATGTGTATATGAGTGTGTGTGAGTGTATGAGTATGTGAGTGTGTGTATTCATGTGAGTGTGTGTATGTATGTGTGAATGTGTATGAGTGTGTGTGTGTGTGAGTGTGTTCCTTGTCTCCCTTCACTTCATGGGTTCTAGGGATCAAATTCAGATCATCAAGCTTGGAGGCAAGCGTCCTTACCTGATAAGTCATCTTGCCATTGGAGGAACGCATTTTATTTATTTGTTTGTTTGATTATGACGCAGAGTCTATGTAAAGACCAGCAGGCTGGCCTTTAACTTATAGAGATCCCCCTGCCTCTTCACCAGGCTTTTCCTTCACTCTCGATTTGAGATGGAATTTTATGTAGCTCACACTGGCTTTCACGTTCATATGAAGTCTGATGGCCCTCTGTAAGAACAGCCATCGCTGGGAACGGAACCCTGGGCCCTCTGCAAGAACAGCCATCGCCCTTAAGCACTGAGCCAACTCTCCAGTGTCCCAGGGACAGTCATTCTGTAACAGCACCCGGTGAGGGCGGAGCGTTGCAGAGAGAAGTGTGGACTGACGAGGGGGTCTCTCTGGAGGAGCTGGAGCCCAGCACAGAAGCAGGGAAGGAGTGTGGCGGCATCCTGTGGGGAGAAGGAAACCGGGGTAATGGCTGAGAGCAGCAATTTCCACGCCGTGTTTTGCAGAACAGTATTTGGCAATGGACGTTCAGGGATGTGAGCAACCGTGTTGGATTAGGCTGTGACTGGCTCGGAGAGGACCCAAAGGGAAGAAACCACTTAGCTTTCTCCGATGGACTTCCCACAGAACACTCATTAGCGTCTTTCAGACTAGCCAGGTTCCAGGCTCTGTGGAAACAGTAACCAACAGCCTGGCTTGTTCTTAAGTTTGCCTTTAGTCCCAGCACTTGGGAGGCAAAGGCAGGCGGATCTCTGTGAGTTCAAGGCCAGCCTGGTCTACAGAGTGAGTTCCAGGACAGCCTCCAAAACAATAC